ATGGGGGAAATTCCTCAAAGAAACCCATCGCTGTGTGAATTCATCGTTGTATGAAGCAATCGTTGTGCGAGGCACCACTGTAGTGTAGTGTCTGGCAGTTGCAGTGGATAATTGATGAGGTACTGGAGCATGTCTTGGTTGCATGCTTGCCCAGTTGCACCACTTAGACGTGCCATGCTGTCTTGGCAGTTAGCTGCTATGAACTGTAGCATGTTATACATACTTAATATGAACACTATAGGATTCTGACCATTATAAATAGTCAGAGCTTGAAAAATTTTAGAATGTCTCACCAGTCAGTCAAAAATTTCCCCAGTCAGCATGACCAGACTATAGCCTTGCAATTTATTGGGATTGGGAATCACTGATTTATACCCTCAGACTTGGGTTGCTTTATTACCTCCATGCCTGTGGGGTCATGAAGTTTGTATTGTGAATGCCTTTTTTTAAATGTCTCCAGCAAAAATAAAACTGAAAACAAAAGTGCCTGGCCTCTTAAGGACCCATGGTTTCCTCCTACCCCAGGATGTGTCCTCGTTCGGTTGAAATTGGGAGCAAGGAATCTCCATAATCTCCAGCATGGGACTATTTTACAGTCTCCTGGAGAGCTATATCTCTATGTGCCGCTCAAACTCTCTTCTCGTGAGAAGAGGGCAGTTTTCCTTTTGCGAGGGGAGGATTGCAGGATTAGAGAGAGACACACAGTCAGAGTGGAAGGAGGCAGGCAGGCAGGGAGCTGTGACTCGTCCAGCAGCATTTTTCACTCGTCACAGATGAGTGGATAAGTGCGTCTTTCAAGCCCTGTAAATACTGTAGTAATATTTTGGCCAGATTCCTTTATTGTGAAGAAGAGGAGGGTCAGTGATATACCATTCATACATTTTTAGTTGGAGACTTCAGCTAGTTGTAGTCTTAAGTTTTGCTTGTTGGTTGCTGGAAATGAATTTTTCAATTGGTTGCTTTATTTTAATTACTTTGCTGCTTTTACTTGGCTTATTGTGCATACCGCTTTAAAACTGTTCACTGTAAATGACCTTAGAACAGATATTACAAAAGTATGCAAATGCATCTGTAGTTAAAACAATACTACAGTATAGTAAAGCATGTGCACTTTACTACAGCATTTAGTAAAGAAATCCAAGCATCTGTGGCAGGGCAGATTGATTTAAATCAAGCCAACTTAAATCACAATTTAAATCACTAGTCAGTAAGACTTGATTTAAATCATGATTTTAAAATGTAAATACTCATTATTGTTGGTAGTTTTAATCTTTAATCTTTGCAACCAGATGAAGATTTCAGATTTAGAATAACAATCTATCAGTAAAACAACTATATCAGAACAGATTTTAGTTTAATAGGTTAATCATTCGTACAGTATTTGGAAAATTACTTAAATTGTTTCATTTAACTAAAACAATAACGTTGTATAGCATACATATTCTTGTATTAGTTTAAACATTAGTGTGTTTATTGTACATAGATTTGCAGAACAACAGGGTTAAGGTTTTTTCCTGAACTTTGTTCATTTTATATCATTTTTACCGTGAAAAGTTCATGTTATCTCAACTTGGATAACTTGAATTAACTGAATTAGTTAACGAAATGTAAATATTGCATGAAAATACTGCTTTATGCTACATAACAAAGTTCTGTTTCATGCAGAATAACCTTTGAACTGTAATATATCTTAAATAGAAAACTATCTTTAGATAGATTTTTCATCCAAAACCATTTCATTAAGACAAATGTGATTTACATTTTTAAAAATCAGATTTTTTATTTTTTTAAAAGAATCATTGTTTTTAATCCACTCTGATGTGTAGTAATACACACACACACATATATACACACGCACACACACACACAAATAGAGCATTAAAAGTATTTTAAGCTGTTGTTTGTGACTTCAATGCCTTCTAGGAGGCTGAATATGGTGGACATGATCAAATAGATTTGTATGACGACGTCATCTCGCCATCTGCCAATAACGGCGATGCACCAGAGGATCGTGATTATATGGACTCTCTTCCACCATCTGTCGGAGATGATGTAGGCAAAGGATCAGCACCAAATGTTGTCTACACATATACGGGAAAGAGAATTGCATTATATATTGGAAATCTTACATGGGTAAGTGTTCAACTAGGTTTTTTTTAATGTTACTTCTGTGTAAGTAACATAGGAAGCTTTTTACATAATTATGCCCATTGAGGCCATTGGTCTGTGAAGGTCAGTGCTATCTATAACTTTCCATGGAGATGACAATTAAACCTGGGAACTCTTATATTTGAAACATGTGCTGTCCACACCCCTTCCATTTTCTAATAGGCACCAACTGATATTTTTTGTAACCATTACTTTTTATAGTCTGATTGAAACAAAATATTCACTTATTTTTAAGCATAGCTATACACTGTATGATGTACAAGTAAGCATTGGAGTGACCTTCAGAAAATAAACACTACTCTGATTTTGGTTTCCTTTAATATGAAATACATTGTAGATCCCACGTGTCTAGCAGTGCATTACTCTCATGAATCATGCATTGAGAAAAGGCGTTTTTGCTATTGTTGAAGAATGAGAGGTTAATATTGGATATTTTTCAGTGGACCACAGATGAAGATTTAACTGAGGCTGTTCATTCACTTGGTGTAAATGATATTTTGGAGATAAAATTTTTTGAAAATCGAGCTAATGGCCAGTCTAAAGGGTAAGAATTTGTTTAAATACTCTATTATTTCCATTTATGTTTAAGCACCATCAGTGAGATAGAATATTGTAGTACAATCATGTTATATGTTATCTCTTTGGGAAGATTTTGACTTAGAGCATGAAATAGATGAAAAAGAATGCTGTAAGAGGAAAGAAGAATGAGTAAAGTGTGAAGAACATTTGCAGCTAGGTTGAAATAGATATTTGAATTTGAAATCTGTGAGAGATCACTTATGAAATAGAGGAGTGCTATTCCAGGTTTATAGGGAGTCGATCTGACAGAAGATGACTATTTACATAATAGTAAATGGAGGATACAGGAAGGTGCTCTGGGTGTGATTGATTATAACAATTGGTTATATTGTATTAGAAAATGAATAACTTAACTTACTGTCGTATGCTGTTACATGCAGCATGTTTCCTCCCCCAAAGAGAAGTACGTAGTAAACAAAAAACTGACTTCAGTTCTAAAATCCTTCCAAAGCATTTCAGCTCATTCTTTAGATGATGTTTCCTAACCTTTTTCAACCATAACCCCATTTTATAGGAATCTGTAAACCTGCCACCACATTTGCATAAACAAGCACTTTAATGGAGTAAAGAAAACACATTTTAATAATAATAATAGTGATGCAGAAAGTTGAGTGTCCCACTGCCTTCCTCCTCCTTCCCCCCCAAAGAAAAAAAAGAAGGCACACGTTGGTCTACATTTAAACAAGCAAGATAGAATTGGTTTTACATACTTCTGCCAGTTAAACCCATCCATCTGAACAGTGGCATCATCACCCCTCCCTGCTTCTTACCAGTCCATCTTGTCTTTTTCAGCTCCCCTTGCTGGAACCTCTGTATTAACCAAGTTGCTACCACCAGAGCCTCCATTCTCCTCACTTGAGAGAGACCACCTGGACCTGACCTTGGGACTGAGGCAGCAGTTCTCAAGATCCAGCAGCTTGCATGATGATGATGACTCTGCTGCAGGTGCTGGTTCACCCTGGTGTCACCTTCCTTGTCTCCAGTCATCAAGAACAGCCTGCTGCTGCTGGATCTCGAGAATGGCATGCAAGTACCCACCCACCCCACAGTTACTACTGAGAAGCCATTTTGGGCTGCCACCTGGTACCCCAACAACATTATGAATGCAAAGCTGCCCATTCTGCTTCTCTAGCTTTTCTAACAGTTCTTGCAGGTTCCACACTTTGGTGGCAGTGTTCGTGTTACAGTTGATGTCCTTCATGACACCCTGTGGCTTCATCTGGCTAATCAGCAACACTCTCTCCCCTTCTGTTCAGACAGCAATTCTTGCCTTACTCCCTTCCCTTCCCCTCAGATGGAGGCGGCCTGTTGTCTCCCAGGCTGAACTAAGTGGGATGGGCTGCCTCTACATGGCTGGGTGGAGAAGTGTAGCCTCTCCTCTCCTTACTCCAAATAATTACCACTGCACAGTTCCTCTTTCAGGGCTTGGCTAGCCTGAGTCAGCTGCAGTAACCCTTTTGGGGTTGCGGTCCACAGGTTAGGAACCCGTGCTTTAGATGAACCTCTTTCCTCAATCTCTAATTCTTTTTCTTGTTTTCCTCCCCAGATTTGCTCTTGTAGGTGTGGGATCTGAAGCATCTTCTAAAAAACTGATGGATCTCTTACCTAAAAGAGAATTGCATGGGCAAAATCCTGTTGTAACACCATGTAATAAACAGTTCTTAAGTCAATTTGAGTTGCAGTCAAGAAAAAGTAAGTTTTTATTGGCTACTTTCAGTGAAGTGAAAGGGTTCATTTCAGAGTGAAAAGTTGCTACAGTTGTTAAAGATTGTTACACATTTAAAAATTAAATATGTTCATACTTTATGCTGACTGAAATTTGATATTTTGAAACAGTAGATTGTATCTGTCAAGGCACTTTAGTTGTGGACCTCTTGTGTCAACTACAGATTGAATTTTGGGTTCCTTTCCAGCCTCATAATTCTGTGATTCTCTAATTCTGAATATTAGTAGAACAATTTAAAAACATGTAACAACTATAACAACTCTTGTGTGGTCATTTACAAAACTATTGCAGACCTGCAGTAGAACACATCTTTACAGTACTGTATTTATAGCAGGGATATATGGCCTTTAGGTGATGATGTGGTGCTGTAATACTTTCTGAAATACTCCATAATCAGTTGGGATCTCTTCCAGCCCCACAATTCTCTGTATACCTCTGATCATTGCTACAAGTAGAATATGTGAAGGGAGGCCTTTTCCTTGGATGTTACAAGTTTTTTGCTGCCCTATTTAACTTTTTGGAGGAAAAAAAACCCTGAATTGGACCATAAGCCTCAGTTCATATACATATGGCTGTTTCATTTGTGCAGCTTTGTGTGTATTGAAGAGAGAGAGAGAAAGGAAAAAAAATCCAGAATCCACAGGTGGGTAAAGTATATTGGGATAAACTATAATGTACAAATATATTAGCTTTCAGGTTTTCAGAAATAGGCTACATGATTTTAAAAATTAGATGAGGGAAAGGATGTAAGTCCTTTTTTTTTGGCTAGGTCTTGTAAGTCATGGAGGTCTGTAATTATATTCAGTTCTAAAACAAAAAGTAAGGTCCAGATAGGTCAGAGTTATGTAGCTGTCACATGACTCTTGATAAAGCCAACTGAAAAGAAGACAGTATGTTAACTGCCTTTCTCCGCTAACAGAAATACATCATCAACTCATGCATTTGCATCTAGTCTTTGATGAACATACAGGGTTTTGTTTTTTGGCAGGATTCAGCAGTACTACGAAGAAACCTCATTCCTTTTGTAAATTGAGCTGAAAACTTAATTGTAGATACATAACTAAGTAAAGAAGTTAAAGCAAGGCAGATTATTTTAGCAGTTCTCTTTAATATTCTGCATTCCCTCTTAAGTGATAGAAGACATTCCCTTCCTCTCAACCGATCCTTCTCTGAAAGGCCAAATATGATTGCCTCTCAATAACAATTCCAAATATAGAAAGAGCAGTGTTGACTTTTTTTTAATTGAAGAAGTAGCAACCTTTTAAATTCTTAGTTAAAGCTGTTTGCTCAATTGGAACTGTATTTGTAGGCTGATCTGATGTTTATTTTGGCCCATTTAGATTCTGAGATAGTCATCTTGCTACAACTTTGAAGAACATTCACTCATCATTTTCTGACTTTTAATCTTTGTCTCCATATGAAAGAAATATAAGAAAGCTCTGTCTTTTGGTCTGTTTTCTGCTTCACACCTGCACTTCCTGTTATAAAGAAAGGAGGAGCTGAAAATGATGGGGTTCATTGGTTTCTGCCAGCTGATCATAACTCAGAATTCATCTTCACATTTGCTTTAAGCTAATGAGCTTGTACATTGCAGTAGTATGAAAGGTTCCGGATCTTGCATTATTAAACACAACTTTTTAAATGATTTTATTCCTTGTTTTTATGGGGGAAAGTAGCCAGTTTTATAATAAGGATAAGCATGAGATTTTTTTCTTTATCTTGTGGGTTCTTTGCCTCCAGAAGTTGAGTTTTATTGCCTCTCTTCTGGAATGTAAACAGTTTAAGGTAACATGCAGTAAGATACACTGACTTTTCTTTAAACTAATCTTAATCTCTAGCACTTTTCCAGGTGTTCTTTATGGAAAGGATTCGAGACAATACTGCAGTACTGAAAATACTGAATAAAAAAGACCTTAGCATATAATGTAGATGCTCTGTTTTGTATTCTTTAAAGCACAGTGTGTTCATGGTGCAAAGCTAAAAGGTGATTACCAAGATGCGCATCACAGATGGAGGGTCCAGAGTAATTCTCTGGTATGCACTCTGGGTCAGGATACAAAGAACTTGCAACTCTTCTTGCTTGTCGCGGAAGGGCTCTGCAAATGTCTTCCTCAAAGAAGGAATAGAATCTGTACGCAATATTTTCCATTCCAAATGGGAGATACTCAAATTAGCTAACAAAAGCATGTAAACAAAAATATTTCTATAAATTAAAATGGTAAATCACTGCCCAAAGCTAAAAGCAGGAGTAAAAACTAATGTTTTTAAAGTGCTTGAAATTTTATAGTATTCATCAAACACTTGTTTACTATTACTGTAGCTACACAGTCTGGGCAGATGTCTGGTGAAGGAAAAGCTGGTCCTCCAGGAGGAAGTTCACGGGCAACATTTCCACCAAGTAACAGAGGGAGAGGTCGTTTTCCAGGTGCCCTTCCTGGAGGTGACAGGTTTCCTGGTCCAGCCGGGCCAGGAGGACCTCCTCCACCTTTTCCAGGTACAACATTTTGGCATTATATGACACATGACTTGTTGGCTCTGAAATGATCCTACATTCCTGGAGCAATTTTTTGGTAGCCAAAAAATTGATCCAGGAGTGTTGGATCATTTCAGACTGAGATACTATAATATTCTGTATTAAATTAAAAACCGTAGAAGCATGTCTGTAATAAAGAGCATTATATGACCTGAAATAAAAAGAGAAAACTAAAGTATGTTCTTGTTTATAATTATTGCTAAATAAAAATGGAAAACCTACAAATTTATGTGATCTCCATTAATCTCTTAAAATACTTCTGTAGACTATTTCTGTTGAAGATTATCATCAAATTTAAATGTAAGGTAATTTAGCTCACTGGTTCTCAACCTTGGGTTACTCAGGAGTTTTGGACTGCAACTCCCAGAAGCCTTCACCACCAGCTGTCCTGACTGGGGCTTCTGGGAGTTGCAGTTCAAAAGCATCTGAGTAATAAAGGTTAAGAACCACTGATTTAGCTGAAGGCGGTCTGTGCTGCCATAGGTTTTCTTAAGTAAACATTTTAAAAAGGTTGAGCTAACATTAGTCTGCCTCGAGGAAGTATTTATTGGTGTTTTGAATATTATAGCCAATTTCATTAGTGTTTCACCTAAACATATAATCAAAGTATTTATATCGCACTATGGTTATTTTCAGCTAGCTACATAGTTCAGTGAGTTAAGTATCTGGCTGTGGAGCCAGAGGTTGAGAATTTAGTTCTTCTCTGGGTATCCCAGAAGAGCCAGCCTATGTGACCTTGGGCAAGTTGCACAATCCCAAAATGCCCCTAGAAGGAGGACATGGTAAACTACTTCAGAATACTTCTCTGGGTATCCCAGAAGAGCCAGCCTATGTGACCTTGGGCAAGTTGCACAATCCCAAAATGCCCCTAGAAGGAGGGCATGGTAAACTACTTCAGAATACTCTACCTAGAAAAACCTGAAAAAGATCAATGTAAATCAGAATTGACTTGACAGCATATACAGTGGTACCTCGATTTAAGAACTTAATCCATATTGGGACTGCTTTCTTAAGTGAAAACGTTCTTAAATCGAAGCACCATTTCCCATAGGAATGCATTGAAAACCATTTAATCAGTATCTGCTGTTTTTCGTTCTTAAGTCGAAGCATTAGTTCCCATAGGAACCAATGCAAAGCCTGTTAATCCGTATCTACCACTAGGGGGTGAATTTTTTAAATTTTTTCTTCTTCTTTTGACCTAAGGTGAACTTAGGTCAAAAAAAGGGCAGGAAAAGTTTTTTCTTTTTCTTTGGTTCTTAAGTCGAGGCTCCGTTCTCATTTGAAGCAACTTTTTGCAAACAGAGCCATTCTTAACTCAAATCGTTCTTATGTAGGGATGTTCTCAGGTCGAGGTACGACTGTAGTAGTAATTTTGTTATCTTCTCAAAATAATCTTAATTTTTAAAATTTCTTAGCTTTCTCCCTTTCTTCCATTTTAGCTGGACAGACTCCTCCGCGTCCACCACTAGGTCCTCCTGGCCCACCAGGTCCACCGGGTCCTCCTCCACCTGGCCAGGTTCTACCTCCTCCATTAACTGGTCCTCCTAATCGTGGTGACCGCCCCCCTCCTCCAGTTCTGTTTCCAGGACAGCCCTTTGGTCAACCTCCATTGGGTCCACTTCCCCCTGGTCCTCCGCCTCCAGTTCCAGGCTATGGTCCTCCACCAGGTCCTCCACCCCCACAACAGGGTCCTCCTCCTCCTCCAGGTCCTTTCCCCCCTCGTCCACCTGGTCCGTTAGGACCACCCCTGACACTGGCTCCTCCTCCACACTTACCTGGCCCACCACCAGGTGCTCCCCCACCAGCCCCACACGTGAATCCAGCATTCTTCCCCCCACCAGCCAACAGTGGCATACCTACATCAGACAGCCGTGGTCCACCACCTTCAGACCCCTATGGACGACCTCCACCGTATGACAGAGGTGATTATGGGCCACCAGGCAGGTGAGTTCCTTTATCGATAGCCTATTTATTTCCCTCTAAGAACTCTACAATCCATTCAGGTGATTTTAAACCTCCATTTGCTTCAGGAAAGTGATGTTTCTGCAATAAAGTTTTTTTTTTTAAAAAAAAATAAGGATTTAATTAAATTAATGTTATCAGACCTTCTGAACTTGGTCTCTTTTTTTTGTGAATGTACAGCCTCAAGTTCTGCAAAAGACATTTATTCTGCACCTGAGACTTGCATGCTGCAGCGTGCATTAGCCTGCTGCTATGTGTCGAGTTCTGTAGAGGTGTGAAGTAATCCAACACCGGCACTGGAAAGCAATATAGAATGAGATTAATGATGTTTTATCCTAAAAATCTCATGCTAGGGAAATACCATTAGAAAAAAGCAGCAGCTCTTGCCAGTTGTGCCTGGAGATCTAATACACACCTGTCCAGTATCCTTGCTAAAACTGATGAAGGGAAGGGAAGGTTCACCTTGTTCTGAATCCTATATCTCTTTTGAACTAGGTGCTCATCTTCAAGTGTTATTAGATCAGGAAGTGCTACACAGTTTGGGAATTGCTAGCATTTTTCCTTCCTTTTGCAATGTTTTTGATCAACCTTTCACCAAGTTGTACTTTAGTTTCATGAGAATACTTCCAGTCTACATATTAAAGTAAATGTCTGTTGTTTTCACTGGGCAGATGTTGAATTAATTTGGAAGAAGGAAATCCCCTGTGTATTGTTTTAGTTTGACACCATCATCTTTTCTCCTGTGCAATTTTAATTTATTTATGTTATGTTGTAAGCCGCCCAGAGTGGTAGAATATACCAGATGGGCGGGATATAAATCAAATAAATAAATAAATTTTCTGTTTGGTCCTGGAAAAACCTTATTGACAACACCTGTTATTGAATTGATTTTCTGTTCTGAGTGCTTGGGCTTGGACAGTCATTTCAGATGGCAGACAATAAGGGGACTCAATACCATGTAACAAAGAAAAGGAAAAGAGGACTGTTAGTTGCTGAATTTGTTTTACTAGGAGTTTGTGAGCTTAGGTGACTTAACAAAAGTTACAACTTCAGTTGTTAGCCGCTCAGAGTGGTATAAATATACCAGATGGGCGGGATATAAATCAAATCAAATCAAATAAATAAATAAATTGTCTTTTGTTTTCCAGCTTCATTTTAGGAGGCCCTGTTGGCCTATAGTTCTGGCTGTTGCTTTTTGTTTGATACAGTTTATCTTAGGCATGTGCAATACCATTTCACAGTAGTGCCTAGACTGTATGTAGAAATCTGTTTGCAGGTAGTGTGCTTATATGAGAAGGTTTGTTGGCACAGTGATTTGTCAAATAATCCTATCACTCTTTTACTTAAGTATATTCTAGTTTGTTCATTTGGAATTACCATCCAATGTTATAAAATATAACATTTTATAAAACATTATAGATATTTAGAGGATTGGGCATAATTGTTTGAAAGCACATGCAGAGAACCACTTATCATCATAATCTTGTTATCTTTGTATATCAAGATAATTCTCTTAAAGGTAAGGGAGGGCTGAGGGTGGTGAAAGCAGAAGTAGAACTTCTTCACATAATGTCCAATATTTTAATGATGGTCTCAACTACAATCCATAACTATATTTAAATTGTCAATTATATACCATAGGCGTATCACTGGAAATAACATGTCCATAAGAGAACAATTACATATGCCATTGTATTGGAGACAAACGAAAAATAATACTCAAAACGCAGGGAGGTATGAATTTTTAGACATTTCCTCTTATGCTAAATCAGCTGTAGGATATTTTGATCCACTTCTTGCTCTTAAGAGGATAGCATTGCTTATTCTGCATTTTCTTTCTACCAGAAGAACTAACATTTGCAAGAAATATTTCTCAAAAGCAAGTAAAATCACCTAATTTTGCAGTGCTAGAATGAATATGAAGAACAAATAGTCTAACATCACATCCTAAGGCATGACTATTCAAGGCACCTAAATCAGATTACATTATCATTCTAGAAGAGAGTATGCCACAAGCAGAGGGGAGGAGGAATCTAGATATTGCATCTTTAAACATAGACCTGTGAAGCTTCAGATCTTCTGTTTTAAACCAGAAATTTGTAAATGCTACAAATGCCACTTGCAGTATTATATTTTTAACTCTAATTTTGGGTAATTAGGGCAAGTATTTATGTGTGCAGCCAGTACATCACATTGCTCGAGTTAAGGTATGATTGAGTTAGATAATGTGTTGAGAGCAAAGTTCTTTGATTTGGCTCCACCACAGTTATCTTTGCCTCAGCTATTGCATATATACTTGACAGAAGATTTGTAGGCATCTGTTGAAGTTTTGTAAGGATGGAATGCACTACATAAGTACATTATCTAAATGAAGTTTCAACAGTAATTAGAGAGTTATTGCTTCTGTCATAGTGTACTTTTCATTCTTGCTAGACTGCAGGTTTAGTGTCGTAAGCATCTTCATTTAGAAAAAGATTTCTTTTAGTTACTGTTTTACTTAAGATTGTATATTATAGTTGTTGAAACAACAGTATTGACTTAACCAGCTGGGGATAAAAATTTTGAATTTGTGTATGTTTGCAGAGAAATAGATGCTGCAAGGACACCTTTAAGTGAAGCAGAATTTGAAGAAATCATGAACAGAAATAGAGCTATTTCTAGCAGTGCCATTTCAAGAGCTGTATCAGATGCTAGTGCTGGTCAGTATATTTTGATTTATTAGCTGTCTCATTCTATAACCTGATACAAAAAACTACTGCTGGCCAGACTTGGAGGAACGCTGGTGCTGTCAGTACACCTTACTTTTTCTGGATAGAATTGAAAGTGGTTTTTATGATCAGTAAAGCCTTATAGGGCTCATAAGCATGTTTCCGATACATCAGATCATGCCTCAGCAGGATTTGGGACCACGTTAAAATGCACTAGACCACCATGTTTTGCCATGCTACAAAATGTGTCACAGGGCTGATTCAGAAGACACAATTTTATTTAAAAACAATGTGTTCAGGAAGCAAATGTTTTTGTTTTAAAGCAGAATAATGCATGCTTACCTTATTTTTAAAGGAAACTGGCTTCATTGGCACAAGTGAGAATTTATTATTCATTGTTCACATTGTTTTAATGTTTTAATTAGGAAGGTTACTTAAATGCTCCCTTTGATTCACAAATATAAATATAAATTTAATACACTTTATTTGGTTCCTGCAAACAGCAGATGAGACAGTAAATTTGAGGATTATACTAGTTTAGACAGTAGAGGGTACTATGTCCTGAGATGCTTCTCCACAAACTGTTTTTATGCACAGCAGATGAATATGCCAGTGAGATTTATAGTTTACAGTTGTTCTCCCTGACATCAAGTTTGTTTTCTTCATTGTAGAGAGATGCCCTTTGTAGGGAAGAGTATCCTTGCATGTCAGTCTCTTGTTTTTTCTGAAGCAAAGTATTCCACTCACCAGTTTGCCACCTAATCTGTGGTTTGTAGGAACTAGGGATTATGCTGTAGTGGTACATATTGGTATAAATTATAGAAGACTATTTGATGTTAACAAACCATATATTTGCTCATTCACTGTTTTCACTTTCTAGCGGAGTATGGAAGTGCTATAGAAACCTTGGTGACTGCAATTTCATTAATTAAGCAATCCAAAGTATCTGCAGATGATCGTTGCAAAGTACTTATTAGCTCTCTGCAAGATTGCCTCCATGGAATTGAGTCAAAATCTTATGGTTCAGGGTCAAGGTAAACCTTTTGTATAACAATGAATACATATTTTGAATAAAACTCCAGATTACAGAAGGGAAACAAGATGACTGAAATGGACTTCTCTCTCTTGCTGTTGTAACTTTTAAAAATTTGATTTCTTGGTTTAATAGATGCAGGCGCAGTCTCAAAGTTATTAAATGCAAGAACTGCTCAATATTGTTGCACTGTTTCAAATTGTTAACATAACCATTTAAATTGTTACGTGAATTGTTATAATGAATTAAGGATCCACATAACTTGTAACAATATTACAGGGTAGAAATGCTGTGTGTTTTTTGGAGGAGGTTTCTGAAAGCAAGCCGTACTATGTTGACAATACAAATACTAACTTTCTGTTTAAGAATATTCCTACATTTATGTTTTGCCTCTAAAATGTTGAGTTTCATACAGTTTTGGGCAGAAGCCTATTGGTGTTTGTGTGAGGATTGCACCACATGCAGTGGCTAATTCCAACTAATTGATGAGTTGTGGGGTGTATCTGGGTTGCTTATCTGGTCACAGACCCCACTGCACAACCAAGATATCCCTTGTCACTACATCAGTAAACTGCAAACAGTGGTGGCAAGTTTATCATACCTTATGTGAACAAAAATAGGATTTCAACCATTGATTGAAACAACAGGACAGTGATTGGCTATGTTTTCTGACACATAAATAATCTTAGTGGAGTTTTTCTGTTGAGGGCTAATTTTTGTCACTTGTACTGCAGGGGTTGGTGCCTTCCCAGGGTTGAAAAGGCCACTGAGACACTTTGGATCTACCAGGAGGCTGACTCTGGTGCCAAAACCTGATTGTCACCTTCACTGTAGTTGCTGCCAAAATTCATGGGAATTGTGTGGATTTCCTGTGGTGCAGGAGGCTGCCAGAATATTATTTTCTACCACTGAACCCTGGAAAACAGCACAATAGAGTGTTGTCTCCTTTTCGGAAGGGGAGAAGATGCTGTACTTTTGGCACTGTGATTAATTGCAGTGGCAGCTGGCACCAGTAATTCTGTTGCTACTGCTGCACCAGCCTGCCACTATGTGGGTTTTAGAATTCATACGGAGACTGCATAGATATAGACAGCTCTCACTTTGCACGCCTCTATTCTGTTGAGAGAGAATTCCCCATTAAGAAGCTTAACAAATCCAGAGTTTGTCTTTATTATTATAAAACTGTGTAATTTGAGAGAATTAATGAAATAATTTCTTTTAGAAGACGTGAGCGATCAAGGGAGAGAGACCACAGCAGGTCGAGAGAGAAGAGCCGGCGCCACAAATCTCGTAGCAGAGATCGCCATGACGATTATTACCGGGAAAGAAGCCGTGAACGTGAGAGACATCGTGACCGCGATAGAGACCGTGACAGAGAACGTGACAGAGAACGAGAGTATCGCCATCGTTAAAAGGTGGGCATATTTGTTCTTCATTAATCATTTTTCTACTAATATTTTAAGTAGTCTTGGAGAACATCATCTCTAGCATAGTATGCTGAATATTTTTCTCATAGTGTAGCATTGCCAGGTAAGTAGCAATACACATAACTTGTAATCTTGCTAACATTTTCCCTTACCCTTCCCTTTTGCTAACTGCATGTGTGGCCTGTATTGTGTAGTATGCATTCTTGTGATCCTGCTATTTTAATTATAGTCTGGTTCACTTTAGCTACTGCAGTTCATTTCTCCGATATTTAAAGTTGTAACTAAGGATGGTCCTCTCTTATTTAATGGATTGTCTCCCTTATAAGTCAGTGAGCAACTCCCAAATTGAATTATAGGAATGCAAGCCCCAAAGAAGCTGACAGTAGAATAGTCCCTCAATTTCTATCTGGTTCCCACCTCTTCTGGTAAGAGGGTAGAAAAGTGCCCTGCTGAGTCTGGGAACCATAAGATCCCCTGAGACTTCCCAAGTTCCTTGGAAGAGCACCTTCTAACAGAAGCTGTTGGAAGGAACTCACTACCTTGGGCACCCTTGCAGGTCTCAGGGAATTTTCTGTTTTCCTGAGCTCAGTGAAGTGCTTTTCTCTCTGCTTTTCTCTCAGACGAATGACTGGGAACCAAATAGAGGTAGAGGATTCTACCCCTTGCTGCTTTGGGGCTTATATTCTCATCATTTGGCTTGAGGGTTCCTGCCAATTTATGGGGATACAAAAGGACCGTACTTAATGTGACCATACAGTGTTAAAGACGTCTCGCCAGTCCAGGGAGCTGCTGAGTTATTTGGAACAGAATCACAGATAACTAGGCATAGGGCGCAAGAGCCCAGCTGCCAATTCAGCTGAAATTTGGGTTTGGATTGTAGTCTTGTTGAAATATTTGCAGCTAAATCAATTAAATCCAAGCATCTGGCTCCACGTTTTTTAAACAGTCCTTGCCAGAAGAAAACAGATATGTGAATTTTCACTGCTGAAATATACGTGTCTCTTAGATTCAGGGGTTATCTGACTACTCTTTGAAGTATGTCTGAACACAGTGTGAGTAAGTTGTAAATGTACTAGTTCAAGTTCAGTGAGTATTCCTGTGGCTAACAAAATCTATTGTACAAAAGTGCTCCCGGCTTCAGAATTTTTTATTTATTTATTTATTTATTTAATATCCCGCCTATCTGGTCGGGTGAGGACCACTCTAGGCTTCCGAATAATTTTTTTTTAAGTTTAAACGTGTGTGTGTGCGTGTGTGTGTGTACACTTGCTTCAATAAATAAATTTATTTCACACAAAAGTTTAAATCTTTTGCAACCATATAATCTGCTTTGTGTTGAGGTTCCAGTTTGATTTACCAGTATGTTTCTAATCTTCAAAACTGAAAGGTAGTTTTTAATACAAAGTAATTACAGATAATTGGAAAGATTATTTGAGGCTCTTATTCATTTCCTGGTTAGGATTTTTCTTTGCTACTACTATTGTACCCCTATAGGAATCTCTTTATTGCCATTTCCGTATTCTTTGGGCATTTTCTTCTCTTCCTTATGGGGATTGAGTTACGTATGCTCAAGTGGTTTGAATGTTATGTACCAATCTGTAGCATCACAACCTTTAGGGAATATTAATTTTAATGAGTGCAGGATTTAAAGAACTACGGAATGTTTACACATCTGAAAGCTGTTTTAGAACAGCTGTATTTTACTGTGTATGTTTTCTTAAATACTTGTATATAAATAGAGATTGTCTCAAGAAAATAAGCAGTACTTGCCTTGATGAAATGGTGTAAGATAGGAAATGTCTCTTGAAAGGAGATTTGGTATAAATGGAGTGCTGTGTGCTGATCACATCACTGTAAAAGCAATCTGTTCTTTAAAATTATTATTATTTTATTTCTGTAAAGTAAAAGCTGTGTTTCTCTCCTAAAATTAATTCCTCACAGGACTTTACATCTTCTGTAACTATATAGTCTATGTTGTATTGAGGTTCCAGAATGTATATACATGATGAAACTAAAGGAACAAATTATGTATCTGTGGTGATTATAGAACACCAAGCTAAAGTTTTTTTTAAATCACAGAGGGTTTAGATTACCCGTTGGCTTATTTTGCACTTCCTGTGTGACAAATAAATATAAAAATTTGAATGAAATTCTAATACATTGTCTCGAGAGTTTAGCACCATAATATTGTTAACAGGGAAACATGAGAATTTGAAAGTCACAGTTTGCTTTTTACCTACTGTTTAAAACAAGATGTTTTAAGTGGTAGCCAGGACATTTGATTCAGTTGCTTTAATGTTAATTACTAGTGGTGCCCACTTGTAACTGCCTTAAATAGATATATTATGCTTCTTGTGACGAGTGATACAGCTTTCGCGAATACATCGATAAAGCTTTTCTCTTAGTAAAAAACTGAAGGATGTTGAACACATAACGTGCTGATTAGTTTTAAACATTTCATCTTAACTAGAACAATCAAACAATAAGGTATTTAGATTAATTACACTGGCTTGGATCCAAAGATGCTTTTTGACAAGTGGAAGAGCGCTGTGTAAGAAGTAAACTCCTCCCTATTCAGAGCAGTTTCTCCACTTGCACAGGCTCTTGTGTAAAACTTCACATACTTCTTTCTCTGTATGCTGAGGCATTATAAGAGTTCATCTAACCGCACAAATATGTTTTCTTTTGGTTCATAATTCTTTGGATCCCAGTCATTCGCATAGACCCTGAATACATTCATATAAATGGGTTGAATCTGTGTAGCTGCTCTGAAATTGGATGCACCTTTTCAAATTTCTTGCTGGTTTATTGAATGGTACACTGAATAATCCCAAGTGGTTTTCCACATACTTTATACTTCATTAGTTTTTTAATGTACATTGACAGTGTACTTTTGACTAGTTGGTTATTTTGAACATTTTTCATGAAATTCTGTATTTTTTTTTGTTAACGTCCTTTGTATTTTGTCAATATAAAAGTACAAGAAAACTGTGAATATCAATGTACTTATTTTCTTGTACTGATCTGCTAGAAGTTCCAGCAATCTTTGTGCAGCCTTTTATGGCAGATCATGAGCATGTTTATGTTGGGCCATACACACATTTAGATCAAATGTTGACAGCAACATATGTAGCAATAGAACAAATAATCATAGATTGTAGGACTGCTTCTGGCATGAATCCTGTAGGTCGTTGCATGTGATGAACTATGTACTGTCTTCATGCGTCATCCTATACAAATGTGCTTTTGTTTAGGAAATATATAATATTTAAACTCTCTGAGGCTAACATTATATGGATTGAAAATGAGATGATTAGCTGATCTATGAGATAAACATTACATGCTTTATCGTTATTTTAATATACAAGTAATGCAGATTAATACAAATTAAACAAGTATGAAGCACTCTAACAATGATCACACTGTATGTAGTTTGTAGAGTCTGAACAAAAGTTTACATTTTTTTAAAGACTTGTTTTTTTTCTGATGCATATACTGTGCCTGAAAAAAAATTAGAAGGTTCTTCCTATAAACGAATTTATAAGTTGCTTCTGTTCATATGGTGTTTAATATGTACAGAGTGTGTTCAAAATGTGGAAACTTGAGAGCTCCTCATTGGTCTACCTCACACCCACACATTGGACATGATAAAATGCTATTTAAGCCTATATGCCCAGCCCCTCAGTATCTGACCTGTCAAACTCTCAAATGGTAGAGCTCATGCTTGTTCTGTTAGTCCACAAAAACACTATGCACATCAAAGAACAGGAACGAGGCTATTGTATGTTGTGCATCATATGAATAAGCCTATATTATTAGAACTTAATTGTTTTGATTTTTATTGATAATGATAGTTCTCCACATGGAAGTGATAGTATAGAAGTAATTAACATCCATATACATAAGCAGGCACTACTTTTGGGTTGACCATTATTTGTCCTACCCCTCTTTCAAAGTGTAATGCTTTCTCCAACAATATATGGTTTTAGCTGAACTGGTGTTATTTGGAGCTGGCTGTTGACATGTTTTTGCAAATAAATCCATATGTAGGTAAGATCACTTCCCAATATTGGCAAGCCTTTAGTTTTGTTGTGTGAAAATTTTATACTGTCATAGTGAATAATTTGTGTGTGCTAATCATTTTCTTTTATGGGCTGTAAATTCACCTTCCTAGCCTTTGTTTCTCTTGATCCCTGGTTGTCTGTACAACTTGCATTGTTTAGTGGCACAACATATTATGTTGCTCCTTCTGAGAGGACTTCATTTTGGAGCAGCAGCTAAGTGCTTTTTGTTTGTTTGTTTTTTCAAAAAAATATATTTGACTGGATCTCCTTAATTATTGTGGTTTGAGAACTAGGTGATTTTCTTAAACAAAGGAAATAGATCAGTATGCTCCATTTTACTTGTTGCAGTTTGAATTCTAGCAGTCTTTATAGTGCCTCAATGTGTACGTTATTTACAGTTTAAAATCAAGTATAACTAAATGGTAAAATTTACAACAGAAACGATAGCTGTTAAAGTAAACCCCTGAGGTTACATTTTATGGAGTTAATCACTTATGGGATTTGAAATAATGTGAAATTTTGGCGCAGTGTCTGAATCTGAGTAGTTGAATCCTGGTAAACCAGACTATAACAGCCTTTGTGCACCTGACTTGCAGTTTCTTTTGCTGCTCCACTTTCTCCTTTATATGAGCTAACAAAGAAGCTATGGATCCAATTCCTAGCCTCTTTGCTAATTTGATTGAATGGAAGAGTAAAGCAGCAGCAGAAGGGCTGAGCTTGTGGTGCATGGATCACTAGCATATTATGGCCAATTAAGCCAAGATCTAATCTTTCCATGCAGGGCTGTACATCTAATCTTCCTAGTCCAGATAAAACAAGCAAGACTCCTATTATGAGAAATATGATCCTGTATAAGTAGGTTTAGAAACGTGATCCAAACTTATTTGGCAGATAAACAAACTAGTTTGGAAACACAGAACAAAAAATTGTAGTTCAAAAGAGAGAAATCATATAGGTAGGTGCATGCAGCTGGCCAATTAGTTGGATACATTTCCTTTCAACCCCACCCTCCCGGGGATGGTGTTGGATGTTAAGATTTAACAGAGATGTATGCTAGGTACAATGTTGTAAAAGGATAAAGATTTCAATATAAAAAGGTTGTTGGGGAAAGTACAATGTACATTTTTACATAAAATTGAACTTAGATCTGGATAGTCAACTCTGATGACAGCAATCTAAATGGGTTACATAAATTTGATTTGCAACTTCGTGTTGTTGCATTAATGTAAACTTGAAAAATAACCTTTTGCTTCTAATGGTTGTAACATGGATGCTAGCCTTATTTGGGAATTGTACATGCAGTGCAATTTGCAGTTTGGACTGTCTGAGTTTGCAAAACTCAAATAAAAGGGAAGCTCCTGCTCCTGCAGATGTAAAACTAAACTAAGGCTTAGGGATCATGTGTAGGCCACAGAATTGCATGCATCTTTCTGATCTTACACAAATCCCCCAGCCCTCTTTATTTGTTAAGCAGTATATGAGATCATGAACAGCCTGGGGAGATACTTCAACTCAGTCAGACAACCTGGTTTAAATAGTGTTTTCAAGTGAATTTAGGAGTCTTAGAAGGATTCACTTAGGTTTGAAATTAGAAGTAATAATTTCCAATGGAATATGGAAGAATAATTTTTTAAAAACAAAAGTTGACCTGGATGGTAAAAAGAAGCATGCCATCTCACTTGGGATCCCTAAACCTAGTTTATTTTTATAATTTTTCTTATATGGTCAGTAGTAGGGAATACTTTTGAGTATTCAAAAGAGTGGTTGTGTTTTTTACTGTCTAGGGAAGTTATTACTCGTGCATACACCAGTTGAAAAGAAGTGTAATTTTATTATTTGTATCTGTATATGTAGAGAAAAGTCTACAGTGACATAATTTGCCCAGTAAAATATCTTTATGAGGCATGTTTCTATTAAAATTTTTAGAAGGCAGACATGATACTACTTTGTTGAAAGGCAACAAGTTATTATCAAAGTCTAGAATTTTGATGTCTTGAGCACATTATAGTTATTTCACTAGAAATGCTAGAAAATGTTGCTGAACAGCAATAATTATGTACAACTACAAACAATTATTGCTCTTAATCACTGCAAACATATTTCAGATGATGAATAAATGTTTACAGTCTCCTATTTTGTATTATATTATTTTGCTACAATCAACAGAATGTTGAAAACTTTGTGTAGTTTTATTGATCACTTGTAATCCTAAATCCAGTGGTAGCCTGAACCAGAGTAGGCTCACTTAATCAACTGCCCAATGGCAAGTCAACCCTAATATATGTTCCATGAATTCAATGGATCAACTCTAGTTGGGGCTACCAATTTGATTCAGGCCATCAAGTTTAAAATAGTAGAATATATCTGTTGGAATAGTTTTAAAGAACAGAATGTATATTGAGTCTTGGAGTCTATCCACTTAATTACATAGTAAATTTGTTACATTGATTTTAAATGAAATATGTTTTTGTTAATTCAGATGAAAACTGAAGCCCAGATTTCCTACAATGAAATTTGTTCTTCCCTGTTCAGTATTACTCTAGAAGTGGTAGAAATATCTGATGCCACTCAAGTACTGTGTTGCAAGAGTAGAAAATCGTAATGCAGTTATGCAGCTGTCATTTTATGTCTTTTAAATAGACTCTGTAGGTGCACTAGCAACTTGTCTTTCAGTCAGAATTAACACCAGTTCTAAAAGGACTAAGGATATTATTGTGTTAGAAGGCAAAATACCTAGTCAGGGTTGAATACCTGATGCTTCCTATTGACTGGTTGAATTATATATCTAGACATGCTTAAAGACAGTGTCGAGGGGAAAAACATCTCAAGTCCTCATTACTGCTATAGATGTGAATAATGTTAGTAATAAGAATGACCTTATGACAGCTGCATGCTACTGTATATTTTGAAATTATTCATCCATGTGTCTGCATTCCAAATGACTTATCAACCGGTCACTTTGCAAATAATTTGAGTTTCAAGTTCTTTCATAAAAGCTTTGGAAATTGATGTGAAGTACTGACAAGTGTCTTACTGCTATTAATTATTCAGGTTTTACACTGCAATTCTAAGTCTGTTTATGGGAAATATGTTCTATTGGGTTTAGAGAGGTCTTACTTCTGATTAAGAGAGCCTAGAATTGCTGTTCTAAGATTGCAAATCTAACCTTGCTTACTTGGATGTATGCACATTTGAAATCATTCCTCCAACTAATATTGGGATTGCTGTGGGCAAATGTGCTTTTTCACTGTGAACAGCTTACTTGCATTTGTAAACATCCATGTGCATTTCTGAATAGGAACACCAATTGCATTGGGGTCTCTGGTGCAGTGACATGGGTGTTCAAAGATGCAGGTATGCTCTCCATACCTTACATGTTTGCTAGGGAAAATGTCAGTAGTCAATGCAGTTACATTGATATTGAAAAATGAGAAGCCTCGTTAAGCCTCATTCACTAGGATCCAAAGAACTAAAAAAAATTTCTATGCATTTGAAGGGGATTTGGAATTCTAGCTAATGAACACCAGCCCCACTTTCATAAAATGGAGTGTTGCACATTCCTTTTGAAGCAGAAGGAATTTCAAAAATTTGTGATATACAGTGGAGACCTGCTGTTCGAAATAAAACGTGTACCCTGTTTCCCCGAAAATAAGATCAAACCTGAAAATAAGCCCTAGTGTGATTTTTCAGGATGCTTATAATATAAGCTGTACTCCCAAAATAAGCCCCAATTAAGTGAAACCCCATCCTCCACCATTGTGCTGCAACCAGAAGAAGATGACATGACTGTATTTGAATAAATGTAGATTGTTGTACATGAAAAAAAAACTTCCCCTGAAAATAAGCCCTCATACATTTTTGGAGCAAAAATTAATGTAAGACCCTGTCTTATTTTTGGGGAAACACGGTACATAAGCCCTTGATTTGCCAGACTAGTTCTTTGGATCTCAGTTGACTTCTGTGCAACTTGATATGAAAACTTTAATCAGGCCTTTCAGAATACATATGGGGTTCTCACATAACTTGTTCAGAATACCATGGCATAGGCGTTAAGGGTTTCTTGCCATAAAAGATGGTTAGGATTGGATATGGCATATATTGCAAAGAGACAGCCAATTGATACGTGTCTGCTGATCAGAAATATCTTATACGGCAGCTGTAACCAAGTAGGAATTGGCAATCTCTGGTGCCAGCCATCTACAGAATTAAGCCGTACCTGCCATGTGCCAACTTCCACATCTGTGCACTTTGATATGAATTAGCATTATTTTATAAATTTGATGCTGAAAATAAGTTAACAAACCAGTTTGACCACTGCATTATCCTTTATGTGCTTTTTCACTGATTTTGGTCTGAAGAAATCTTCCAGATGATTTTCAGGTTTTTACAAAGTAGGTATTTGTAGTTTTCAGCAGCTAAATTGTTTTTTCTATATTGCTGTAAATCATACTAAAACTATCAAACAGGTAACTGCTGTCTACATTGTTGTTTTAGTTTTCCATTGTGCTAGTTTTCTGTAGATTTGAAGTGCACGATCTGTGTATGCGTAGTTATACCAACGAATTTTGCTTGCTGTGGGACCTAGCAAAATCTACATCACAAATTTTGACACATTACAGCTGAAGGAAGAGGAACACCTCATCAGACAAGAAATGTAACTTCATGGAGGCTTGTCCAGCAGTTTGCTTCTTGTGATGGAACAGAGTCATGGATAAAATGAACAGGAATAGATCTGAATAAGGCAAATCTGCATACATGGTAACCAGTAGCTCTCTTAACCTTTTTATGTTGCTTAGCTGTTTTATTTGAAGGAACCTGTGTGATTTAAAACGTATAGCATTTTGCAACTTTATTACTGGTTATATACATTTGACAATTAAAATGTGCAAACAATTGGAAGAAAAGTCAAGTGAATGCTTGTTTTTATAGTAGTTGGTTCTTGTTTAAATGTTGAAATGATAATGTCTGTAAAAAGCACCAATTTGATTACAATAGATGTAGTGTTGTAATAAACTGTTTAATGGGGCTGATGTGTAAAGCTGTTCAAGTTATTTGATGTGTTTACACCTCAGGGAGCGTCTTGTGTTCAGCAATATATAATGCTGTTTAAAATGTCTAACAAAACATTGCATATTTTTTGCACATGCATCAACTTGTTATGTTTAGTGAATGAATAGCGGTTCTGTCCAACATTTGATGTTATTAGAAAAGTGGTTACATCATTAATTTGTAGCTTTATGTAGAGATTACGTGTGAATTTGCTGAAAGGCATGTAAAACTGTAAAAACTGTAGACTAATATTCTGTGATACCAATTGACTGAACTTTCTTTTGAGCAATGGAAGTCTGAATTCTGATAAACAGACAGTTGTCCGTTGCATTATGCAGTCCTGAATGATACTTCATTTAAATGTACAGTTAGAAAAATAATTGGTCACTGTCAAATGATGCTGCAGTTATTTACAGTTTTTTAGTGCTTTTGTCCTGCTTCTAGGCCATTTGTGTACAGATATGTGTCGGTTAAAACCAAAAGGTTCCCTTTTTGGAAAAAGATTAAGATTTCAGATAGGATCATTTGAAGCAGCAGAATTCTCATGTGTTAAAAGCTGATACACACATACAGGGACATCTGGTATAATTAATATAGTAATAGTTTGCCTTAATAAGTGGAGACTTAAAATATACTTTTCTAGATTACACTAATACCTGCTTGGTTTCTAGTTACTTATAACTAGTTGTATACGCTTCAAAAAGTTTGTTTAAATCATTCCCAAGATTTTATAGGAACTGATTCCTGCATTAGTGACTATATGAAGGATTATGGCATGTAATGTCACTTGGGATGTAAATTTAACATGACACAAAATTAAATGAAGGTATCTATGTATTTTACAACTTGAGTTTGCTACCAAGCATAAATTGATGAGAATCCATGACCAATTCTGGCCTTCTAGGTAGTGTACTTATATCACAAATTTGTTTTTAAGAAGTGTTTGTCACAACCACAATTATTTCAGGTGCATATATATATATATTTCAGGTGCATATGTATATAAAACACTCAATTCCGTAACTAAATATCTGGTGATCCTTAGTTGCAGTTCTTTCTGTTATCTGGGAGTAAGTCAATTTTAATTCAAAAAAGAATCTGCTAAACACAGAAACATTCAAGCTATTGGGTTGGATTCAGACACAGTAATATTTGAATTAGACCCACTGAGATAATTTGGACTTGGGTTGGCCATGACTACTATAGTCTAACTCAGTGGTTCTTAACCTTTGTTATTCAGGTGTTTTTGAACTGCAACTCCCAGAAACCCCAGCCAGCAGAGTTGATGGTGAAGGCTTCTGGGAGTTGCAGTCCAAAAACATCTGAGTAACAAAGGTTAAGAACCAGTGGTCTAACTGGCCAAAATCCTATTGCTTATTGAAAGCTGAATCATAACTTTCAGCCTATTCCTTCCTAGTAAACAGCTGTCATTATCAGAGTGCACACAGTAAGTCAGCATATGCATATGCCTCCTGATAATCATGCAAAGATAGTTTGCTTACAGGGAAGGAATGGAGCAAAAGTTACTATTTGACTTATGCTAAGCAATAGCATTTTGAACACTCATTTCATAGGATCACTGTAGAGTTGGAAGGGTCCGTAAAATATCCAATATCATGACAGTGCCAATCTGAATGTGTCTATTCTATTCTGACAATATCTGGATCCAATTCATTATCTCAGAAGGTTGTATCCAGTATAACAAAAAGTTACAGATTTGCAAGAATCATATTGTCACTTGCATAGCTCAGGCTGACGCATCCGACCTATTCATTTTTTACCAATATATTTTGAAATATGTGTAACTAGGGTGTTATGTCCATGTTAATGAGCAATTTACTGTTGGAGAGTTTTAGTAATTATTTAATATAAAAGTTGCCTTTTTAAAGTTTTGTACATCAGAAGTTCTCTCATGATTAATTCCTGTTTTGTTACACTAGGTTTTACCGATCATCTGCATTAGTTATGTCTTTTTTTTACCTCCTTTGAGATTATTATTTGGGGCAGTTGATTATGTGATGGTGACAACTCCTAAATTCATTTTATGCTCTGACTTGTTTATACACTAAAGTGGGGGAAGGGTTCAGAAGTTGAAATGAACTAAAGCAAAATATCAGTTACTTCTGGTTTATTTAAATGCTTCATCCTGGAATAAGTGTTTGTGTAAGATTGGGTTTGTTTTGTGCAAAGTTGAATGGGAGTGTGAAATTTACTGGGAGAAAGTCTGTGAATGATTTAAGATAATTAAGACGTTGCTTGAAATTATTTGTACAGGTTGGTTGATGGTTTAGGCATTCTGAGGGGCAGTGTACTATCAGTTTCAGTTAGGTGGGGTGTGGGCAGAGAATCTGGATTAAATTACACTGGAAACAACAAAACTCAAGGAACTGAAGGTAAGTTAGATGTGTAATTTCAGATGTTCAGTAACCAGAACAAAAATTGTAAACATAAAATTCCATTTTCTGTAACTTAGCATTGTATTACTGAACAAAAGAGTTGTATATAAATAGTCTTAATTTTTTCCCTTAAAACTTCCATTGCTGGCAATGGATCTGCCAAAAAACACAAAATACTACTGACTTTTAGTAACATTTTGATACATGTAGGCTGAATATTTATAACTTACATTGTAGTAAATAGTTCAAATAGTTGTCTTGTGAGTTAAATTTATTTTCTCAGATTTGCTCAGAAGAATTTTGTTAAAGAAGTCCAAAGATGTTTAGACAAAATGAAGGCATTCCACGTGTAATGAACTCTACAGAGAAATATGTACACTATTTCCAGACTAGTTACATTATGAGCTCCTTCAGGAGATATTACTGAAGTGGGTTTTATTAAATATATTTAACCTGTTTCTTTTAGGGAAATGTAAATAGCCTGTAAGTAGACACCTGATATTCTATACATAGACTTTCATAGAGCAGATCAAAGGCATTTTACAGCTTTTTTTCCACAAAAAGGAAATGATTGAACAGTTACCTAAAATAACTGATTAGCATCTTAAGCATGGATGTTTATGCTGACATTCTGTGGTGCCCCTACGACATGAGTATGTAACATTGTGTATGTTTCTACATTTGGTACTTCTGATATTAGCCAGACATTATCTGAAGCACTTCTTTGTAGATTATTTTTCTTCATCTGGACAGAGGTAATAATAGTAGTTGGAGAACTTAGCTAATAATAATAGCAGCAGAAGTTCTGAGGAAAAATTATAGTCAAAGCAAACAGAATATCAAAAAATGCTTATGTTCCATTGGATGGCATTCTTGGTGGTCTGCTAAGCAAACGTTGCAGTAAGCATATATTAAGCATGATATTTGTGTTTAGATTTTAAGAGTAAATATCCTAATTAGTTTGTAATTGCTGGGTGTATATGCACTTTTCAAAATTGTCAGTCTTTGGTTTTGATTTTGCATACTTGAGTCATACTTGTTTTACCCATCAATATGAATTGTGGTTTTTAAATTTATGTATTGATTTTAGTTTTAAGAATTCTTTGTACATCTTGGGGAACATTTCATTTTTTACTTATGTACAGTTTAAACATACATCCCAAGTTTTATATATTGGGGTTAACTACTAATATTTTTAGTTATTTGGTGTAAAATGATGAAAGGAACATACAGCCTTAAAATACAACTTTAATGATGCGGCACTAAACATGCTGTGTAAAATGTACAGTTCATAATACTCCAACTGTCTGCCAGTTCATTTTTTAAATTCTGAGAAGAAATTTTGTTGAAAGAATAGCTTAAGTTCTTGAAAATGAGAACTATTATTGGATTTTTAAGGACCAAGGAAGCAGCAGCAAGAAATGATTTAATGCTTAGGTAGCAACTCTTAACAAAATATTTTTAAAGCACGTTAGGAAGATTTTATATGTTTATTTATTTATTTATTTATTGGACTTATATACTGCCCATAGCGCTACAAGCACTCTCCGGGCGGTTTACAATTTAATTACAGTGGGGTCTTGACTTGAGAACTTAATCCGTATTGGAAGGCGGTTCTCAAGTCAAAAAGTTCTCAAGTCAAATCTGCATTTCCCATAGGAATGCATTGAAAACCATTTGATCCATATCTGCTCTTTTCCGTCCATAGAAACTAATGGGAAGCTGCTATTCCGCCTTCGACCACTAGAGGGGGATATTTTTGTTTCTTTTTTTCTTAGGTCAAGAAAGGTTCAGGGAAGGCAGGGAAAATACAGTCCAGGCAGTACAGTACCAGGCAGTCTGAAGACTGTCTCCCAATCCACTCTCTAAACGCTGGGAGGAGTGAGGAAGCAGACAGGCACCCTTTTCACTGGCCAACAGTTAACTGAAAGTTCAAATTTTGCACTTTCCCTGCCTCCCACATGGTTTTTTTTCAGTTCTTAACTCAAATCTAAGTACTTAAGTCAAGTCAATATTTTCCTATGAGAGCGGTTCTTAAGTCAAAATGTTCTTAACTCAA